GCAAACACTTTTTTGCCGCAAAGAAACCACTTTCAATACATTCACACTTTCAAACTTCACAGACCTCAAATTTAAAAAGAACATACTGCAATATAGCAGATTCAGTCTGTTTGTTTTATAAGAAAGGTCCCTGAAACATACAATTGACTCATCTCAATGATTAGAATGCTTGACTCAAATTACAACCATTATACAGATAGTTATCCTTTACATTGACTTATTGTTTTTGGCAACGTGAACACTGGATCTGAGTTTAAGTTTAAGACGGCAAACTTTCCTTCTACATATTGTAGGTACTCCAATACGCTTTATCCAAATCATGATCATTTTTATGTAGAGACTACAGACAGTTCTGACAAGTCACTCACATTGCTCAAGGTTTAACTACATTTTTGTTTCCAAACACAAAGTACATTTTCTTTATCTCAGCAAAAGTGACTGGTATGAACTTGCAATGTGCTTTCTGATGAAATGCAAGCCCTTGACAGATAAAACTGTGTCCTGCCTCAATATAAACACTACCAGACATAAAACCAGGAGATCAGAAGAGGTCGAATCAGTGTGCCTGTAAAGTCTCAATTGTCAGCCCGCGAAAGGCATGACTGCAGCTGTGGAACAAAAACAGGTGTGGAGTATATTGCATTCCCAAGAGCCTGAAAGACAAGGCCAATAGACAAGATTGTTGACTTGGTAAAGCCGGCAAAAGCAATAGAAAACCTGAAGGTGACAAATCCAACACTGCTTATTTGGATTTTTATGTTCAAAGATCGACCCAGTGAACACATTCTGGACAATATATCAAATGGACACTTCAAAAAGGGCTTATGCAAGCTGCGAAAAGAGTTGAGAGAGGGAAATCAAAATAAGAATACTTCAGATTTGGAAAGTGAGATGATGTTCTCATCCCATCAAAAGCTGATCAGACTCTCACAGGAGCCTAAGAATATACCACACCATTTGTGAAGAAAATACAATAATCTTCACAGCACAGTGAATAACCGGTGCTCATTTCACAGCATTATCCCATACCAACATGAAGAAGGCGTTTCCGAATACTATCAAGTGAGCAAATATGTGCGAAACTGAACGACAGGATTGTAATCAAAGCACGATCGTGTCTCAGTGGTTCGGATCTTTTAGAGTGCATAGCTCTCTAGTTATAAATAATTAGCTAGTCAGTCTGCTTTAAATGACCGGCCGCTTGTTAAATATCACGCAAAATCCCTATCAACTTAGTAATGCAGTGTTTAATTGGGTTTCTTACCTCTCTCGATGGTTCTCGGGTCCAGGTGGTTCGTTTTAAGCAGCTAACCTTGTACTTACAGGCGACCCAGCTAGCCAGCTAACTCAAGCGCTTCACTATCGGACTATTTAAACCGGTCTCGGCTTTGGAATACAATCCGCGTATGAATGGCGACGATTTTTCCGATTGAAGTCACACCAAAATCCCCGTTTATGAGATACTTAGCAAGCCGTCGAAAGGTATGTCAGCATTGCACTGCTAGCAGGAGCTCCCCGTACAGCTAATCCCTGTTAGCTGCCGTCCCAGCCTGCACCAAAAGCCACATTCATACACATTCACTGACCGACTACATACCCAGATGTTGGTCACTAAGGTAAGAATGTTCTTTATCCTTACTGCTAAACTCACTAAGCGACTAACTGCTAACCTGTTATCACAAGTATATGTTAGCAGGCTGTGCTAGTGCTCTGTGCCAATTTTTTCCTGGCTCAAAACAGACCGCTAAACCGAGCTTGATGAAACGCTGGTTTATGCTGTTAGGCCAATGATTGGCTACTCTCTGCACAACGAACGCGTGGATTGGCCAGTGGACTGTCAATCAAAAACTGTTTAGGCACGCCTCGAAAGTCAAACGTCATTGATGTCGAGGAGCTATGGAGGTAGGTTGCGGCGTAAATGTCTGAGATGGAGATTGGATGAAGACAAGGACCAGAAATGCCCGTATGGCGAGAAATGTCACCCGAGTTGTGGTGTTTGCCTCAAATGAGTCGCATTACAACAAAGTAATCATGCTTATAAAGCCGTAGACTACTAGACAAACGATTCCACTATCGTTTTCTATTCTTGGAAAAGGATTTGGGGGATTTTTCCCCTCTTCAATTACTGAGTCCTCACTTGGAACACGGTGTTACATAACTTGAATGACACTGCCCAGTGATGATGCTTCTTTTGCTTCATTTTCATTCACCCTTCCATCCATTAGTTCTCGTTTCTCTCAGCTGAGCCTATTTAATACTTCCATTGGAATTATTTCTTTTACTAACATGTCGTTAAAAGAATGATTAATTGGTTATATATCCTCCTGAGACCCAGCTATGGAGTTTTTGCCTCTGTAGAGGACATTATATTTGAGTGAATTTCTCTGAGACCTCACATGTCACAGTTTTAAGTCTGGATGTCCTGTACAGAGCACATTCAGGGCTCTCCAGAGATACCAAATGATTGGCTGTTTCCCCATCACCACTCCCTCTCCTTGGTTTTTAAAAAAGGCTGACATTAATTTAGTGATAAAATTGTACATCCTTATGATAATATTTTGTAATTATAATTTAAATCTGATTAATTTTCAAATTGTTTGTCATAAATCAACATCTCAGGATCTCATTATGGGGTTTCAAATCAAAATGTGACTTCCTGTTATGAAACTGGACATCATTTCATACATGTCCACTGTAGAGGACAC